GCTACGATGAGCACATTCATGAGATATACACTAAACGAAGCAAAATCACGAATTCTACAATCCTATAATTAGTTTAGTCCATTATCTGGATGCGCATCCTAATTATAAGAAAAATTCAAAAAACACCGAAAATCCGGCTTCAAAATGTCAGCATCCTATTTGGGTGGATGCAGTGATTATATCGAAAAATCATACATTACAATCATATTGACCATGGGGTATTCTGCAACATAGTCACTGATCACATGTGCGTGCGTTGTGTAGTTTAGCCACAAATCAGTAACCGAAACAAAACAACTCGTTGGCTTCAACACAAAAGCCGAAAGTCCGGCTTCAAAATATCAGCATCCTATTTGGGCATCCTATAACCACTGCATCCGATTATATCGAAAAATCATACATTACAATCATATTGACCATGGGGTATTCTGCAACATAGTCACTGATCACATGTGCGTGCGTTGTGTAGTTTAGCCACAAATCAGTAACGAAAACAAAACAACTCGTTGGCTTCAACACAAAAGCCGAAAATCCGGCTTCAAAATGTCAGCATCCTATTTGGGTGGATGCAGTGATTATATCGAAAAATCATACATTACAATCATATTGACCATGGGGTATTCTGCAACATAGTCACTGATCACATGTGCGTTGGCTTCAACACATTTTCACCCATTTTTTACATTACCACCATCACAGCTTTCACCAAACTTATTATTTTTTACAAATATTTTAAGATTTTGACAAGAGCACTTAAATTCATAGAATTTAATTTAAATTATATGCAATATGTTCATATTTCGCGAGTTATAACCTTGCAAACCTCAGTTTCAAGGAATTTAAAAGATTTTTGTAATTTCCGATATACATAAAGGATGATCACAATGAACATTGTCTCTCATAGGTTGTCACAACAACCGTACATCCCTAACCTAACCTAATGAGTTCGATGATTTCAGGTTTGAGCTTTTGCGTTTTGTACCAGGGGGTTTCGAGGGTTCTGAGAAACCCGATAAAAATAAGCACCTTTAGTACATAAGATGTTCTTTATTGGTTACCGAATTCTCTACATAAATATGACTCGATACGTTGGTAAGCATCGGTGACCCAAATAGAAAGAGGTATGATACATCTACAATCAACTGTTTGATCGGCGTAGTGATCTGCTACTTCATTTGGTGAAATCCCAAAGTACGCGGCGTCCGTATGAATATCAGCTTTCGTATGTTGGATTGTAGGATCTTGATGTTAATGATGGCAGAAATATCTGATCGATATTCCTTCGGATACGTAAAAAGCCTTCAAACAAAGTAGTAAAAAGCTTTCAAACATTCTCCAAATACATACATTATTATTTGTGTTGAAAAGGTTATTAAGATTAAAATTGACTTTTGGTATGTTCCCGAACCTGCAAAAATGTACTTCTTTTTACTACTACAAGAATTTTTTCCTTTATGTTATCGAAAAAAATTGAAAAAAGTAGTAGATTCTTGCATTACGGGAACGCCATATTCTACAAAAATCTTGTTATAATTGTAGTCCGGTTCAATAAATTAAGGAAGAAAAGAGTATGCGAAATGTTCTACAAAAAAATCCTCATTCGATTATATTGAACAAATGTAATCTCAAAAAATACACACAACAGATACAAATCACGAGCAATTTCTTCATGTGTAATAGGGCCCCCAGGAAAAAAATATCATATGGCGAATTATTCCTTCGAGACAAAAACAAATGGTTTTTGTTTTGATACATCGCCTTATTGTTGCATCATGGTCGAGTCTATGTCTTTGGCACATAGTAATTCGACGAATTCTTTGGCAGACACTCTTGGCTAGAGCAATTGGATATACCCATAGCTTCACTTATGCTTCTTTCAAAATCATGTTGGGACATTTTTAATATCCATTGTGTTATGATAATAGTTGTGTCTGGTTACTTTTCCAGTAACATTTATTCAGTAAGTTCTAGTTCAGAGAGTAAGCCTTTCTTACTCTCTTTTGCGATAATACTGAAAAAAGTAAACAGACAACATTTAGTAAGATTTAGCAAATAAATAGCTGATTCAAGAAAACATTTGGTTTGCGCCAAAATAAACAACAAACAAAGGACGAACACAATTATTTGTATAAAATGAATAATAAAAGAAAAATTGATCTCGTATGTTCCCCGGGAACATTTAAGCTCCCTGCATCAATACATTGCCCTCTATCTGGAACTTGCCTAAAAATATATAAGGAATTAGTTTCCAATTTAATGAAACTTTGCACTACTTACGAATTTTCTTCCATTTTCTGTAATTAACTTCAAATTAAACATTCCAAATTAAAAAAAATGTTTTAAATAATTTTTGTGAATAAAATTCTTTCAGTAAACTCCAGCAACTTTGTTGTTGTTCAACTGTCAAACTTGCTCTCTCACTTGACTCTCTTTTACTGGATTTTTGTGTAAACAGACAACATTTAGTAACATTTGGTAACAATTGTTACCAAATATCGAGTTAACAGACAGAGCTAATATTGATTGCACACACAGCTTTTACAGATGAACAGGGAAAAGCTAAAAATGGGAGCTGTAATTTCGAATAAAATAGAAGAAACAAATTTATGGGGGAACAATAATAACCTTACAAAAACGGAAACGTCACAGTATAGCAAAGTTGCAACACATAATAAAGAAAGTAGATAAGAATTGGCAGCTTTAGGAATTAGAGGAGATAAAATATCGAAATTAAATGATTCAAATACATATTAATCTCGCAGATTTCTTCCTATATATATATTTCAATGTTGTTTAAGCCATCATGCAAACAAACAATTTATTCTGTTATTTAATAATCTGTTTGTAGTTGTTTCCCCAAATTGCATCTACAAATAATTAATTTATGTTATTTTATTTGCAAAGCCTTTTTGCAGTGGACTCTCGATATTTCTCATTTCTATTTTTGAGAAGGTAAAATAACATAAAACATTAAAACAATTCAAAATTAAATTACACATTATAAATAAAATTACGATATGATAACATGAATCATCTTTTATCTCTTCATTCGGAATAGGGCGTGAAAGAGAAATTAAGACATGTTTCTTTCTAAAAATAGAAGTTAGAAATATCTAGATTCCACTGTAAAAATGCTTCGAATTTAAATGAAAATTAATGTTTGAAAATGTGTTGTTTAATGCTGTGTAATTTAATTTTTTGCAACGTAGAGCTTTACCTATACGCATACATACAACGTCATTCCTTCACAATATGCTAAAGCAAGACAACATTTGCCGGGTTAGCTGGTTATAACAAATCTAAAATAAAAAGAAATAAAACAGAATAATCATGCATAAGAAATATCTATTTATAATTGAAAAGTGTTATAAATTTTGCAGGAATTTATTGATGTTTTTGGTTTCGAAAAGATAACAATTCTTGCATATGATACAATCAATCAAATCAATTTTCAGTGAAATTTTTATAAACAAAAATTAATGAAAATTATAGTTAAATAATAACATATATATGGGTAAATAATAGTAATGGATACGGGTAACAATACAATAACGCTTTTATTTACAATTTTCTGTATATGTATGTACATTTAATGGTCAAAACATACACCATCCATTGCAAGAGAAGGTGGAGATTAAAAACATTTCCGAATGAGAATTATAACAAATATGTGATAGTGTTCGATTATTATTTACTCACTGAGAAGAACGCTATTAAAATTGCAGCGTAGGCCAAATCTGAAATCCATGGAAAAATCCGCAATGGAGTCATTTATTTCATTTTATTTAATATGTTATATATTTTTTAAATATATATATATATTTTTTTATGTATATATATTTGAATAATTTCATTATGCTACCTTAGGTAACTATAAATATTATTTATTTTAAATATATATTGTATGTATATATAATAAATTTCTTTTTTAAATACTATAAAATTATTTGTATGATTTTATTTTTTCATTATATATATATATTTATAGTAACAGCCACATGTATCAATGAACTATATATGTATGTATTTAATTTTACATACACCGTCATTGATATATGTGACAGAATATATTTCCATGTATTTTGTATTTTTTATACATTTTTAATATGTATATATATATATGTTATTCATATACACATACATACATACATATTATATATATGTATACGTATATATAGAAATTATCATCGTGTATCATAAATAGTAATTTTTATAGTATATTTATAGTTATAATAATTAAGTTTACTCTTATATACTCAATTAAAATGACTTAATTATGTCACTGGTATATTTCTAATGTATCCGGGTCTGTAGTTATGTATATATGTGTTGTGTCGGTCAGTGTGTGTCAGTGGAGGCGTGTAATTGAGGGGAGTGTGTAAACGTTTGCTGTTCTGAGAATCGGAATTTAAAAATTATGTGTTTAATTTTTTTGCTATCGTTAGTTATTCTCTATATATTTTGATGGCACAGAAATTGTTGCACAGACATGTTTCCCTTATTAATCGAATGGAAGTGGTTGCTGCACTGTGACGGTATCATCTCAAGAAAACAGTAGTTACACCTTAATCGGTTTCGATGGTTTCAAGATCTTGTTGTTATTGTTGATGACATCTTATTGTAAGTATATGCAGTGAGTGTATCTGAAGTTGTGGATGTGGATGTACGTATTGATGAGAATTGAATTATGTGATTGTTGTCTATATTTTTGGGATATTTCTTTCTCTCTACCTATGTATTAAAGCCAATGTTTTGTAGTATTATTAATTTAATAATAAATGTGTATTTATCTGTTTTTTCCTTCTCAATGGTTGTCCGAATCTAGGATACTAGGCCAGTTCGAAAATATAAAAGAAACTGTTTTTGCTTTTCCGATGACACACGGCGTGCACCTGCTTTCCATTTCTGTTTGTGACTTCCTTAATGTTTAATGCTGCGTCAGTTTATATCTATTTTATAACTAGATCTAGTATTTTTTATTAGATTAGTTAGTTTTCATCTTGTTGTCGTTTTAACTTATTCTAATTTAAGGTTTTTGGTATAGCATCATTGTGTTTACTCTTTTGTTGTGGTCATGCCATCAATTCAACCGGGAATATCAACGGGGTCGTGTCCCTTTGTAGTTGGGATTGGGATGGCGACCTGGATGCCGAGGCTGGGCTGTGAAACAAATAACACGTTTTAAAATAATTTTGTTTGAATAGTAAATTGACAAATAACACTAATTTACCTGGTATCATCATGTTCATTGCTGGGTACATGCCCGCTACCTGTGCAATGGGAGGTCTTAAATCTGTCGATGGAGAGCGACGACTATTTGGTAAAGCTACGGAAGGCTGTAAATAAAAGAATAGATGAAATACAATAAAGAAATGTAGCGCGAAACGTAAAAGGATTTTTATTTCCAAAAAAAATTATAACGGAGGTCTGTATGAAAGTTGTGTCCAAAATTGTATATCGATCAAAAATCCATAAAATTAAAAATGTATCATTTTGTTTGATTCAAGACAAAAAAATATTTTTAGAACCAAGCTGTTGGTCGTTATTCACTCGATTTCATTCGATTCATTTTCATTCGAAATTTCAATTGCATTTAATTTGAGAATACTACCTAAATTCGAATTATTTCATTCATACCGCAGCACTATAGGTAATTTCGGCAGTTTTTATGCAAAAAATCATTCTGAAATGAAAGCCTTCTAAATTGATACCCATAGGTCTCAAATTGCGATTTGTTTGCGTTTTTCGTGATATATAATAATTTTGGAGAGAACTTCAGAATAAAAAAAACAATAAAATTTAAGGCAAAGAACCATATACAACGTCCCCGCAAGTAAAGTTATTAATAGCAACAATTTGGACAAAAAATACATCAAATTAAAGAGGGAGTTAGGTTATTTTGCATGCATTTGTCATCAAGATGAACTAAATGGAACTTTTCCGCGAAAAAACGACAACTGAATTAAATCAAATTTTGATTACAAAAACCCACATATAGGATGTCGAAGGAAAGATTATGAGAAAAACAAAAAAATGGAGTAGAGCTTGGGTTCCTCTTAGAATATAAACCATACGCTTTTCAGCATTACAAATAAAAAAGTGAAAATCTGTGTTTTCTCTTTCTTGTACATATAAATCATTTAAAAAGTCAAAAAATCGTTTAACACCACCGTAATTAATTTTTGCCCCAAAAACAGGGCAAATTACCCTTAGTGCACATCAAAATAATTGAAGGTAGTATATATTGTAGAGAATAACAACTCTGCATGTAATTGCATATTCCGTCAGATATAAAATAAATATACGCAAAAATTTTTGGTTTTTATTCGACAATTTTTCAACATATAACTAAAAACGCGTAAAATTAATAAAATGCCACAATTTCTTCCCAAATATTAATGGGAATATCATTTGTTTCATTCTTAAAAGGTTTTCATTTCAATTAACACGATGTGCGCGCACAGGTCCGGTCCTAAAGTATTAAAGTTAAAATATGAGCAAGAGCAGTGCGAAAAGATCAGAAATATTGAGGCCGCGCTCAACGTGTTGAATTTATTTCAATTAACACTAAATTTATATACAATTATTTCAATACTATTTAAAAACAATGCACAAAATGTATTTATTGTTTAGATAGAATTATGAGAAAAATTGTAGCTACCGACCTACACTTTGTAATAATTAAAATGATTCAATATGTTAGTAAATAGTTCGAATTTTAAATTGCAATGGAAAAAATAAAAATGAAAAACTTTTTCCATATATAGGAAATATAAATAATTGCACTTACGTGGGCAAAATATGTATGACCATATTTAAAGTACAATCCGGATGCTCCCGGGTTGTATGTACCCAATAATGGCTGAGGATGGTGATGGTGAGCAACTGTTGCAGCAGCAGCAGCTACTGCTGCTGCATTCGCGACGTCGGCTGCTGCCGCGGCCGCTGCTGCACCTCCTAAAACGGCTGTGGTCGCCTGTTGGGGCATTGCAGCTGTGGCAGTAGCTGCCCCACCTGCAGTTGTTGCTGCTGTTTGCAAATGTGGTGGAATGTGTGCAGGCCCTCGTGCAGTTGTTATGTACAGCGATGGCGGTGGTGGTGGCGGGTGATGAGTAAGAGCAGCTTCACCACCATTGTTCTGAGCATTTATCATATATGAGGGTGCGGCATAGCAGCTGGCTGCAATCGGAGTGGCAGCGTTGGAAGAATTATGTATACTGTTTGGTGAATTATTGTTGCTATTGTCATTGCTGCTGCTCGCGTTTGTGCTTGGTGAATTGCGTTGAGAAGCCGGATTTCGCCGAGATTCCACAACACCTCCACCACCTGCGCTGTTCGAAACAGATCCCTTGTGACGGAATGCCGCTGCTGCTGCATTTAGTCGTATTGGAGGCTTCGCAACGTTAACTATTGGAACTGTACTCGGTGTCATTTCAACATTTGTCGTAGTCGCAAAATTGTTATTATTCACGTTTGCACTCCCGGGATAACTGGGTGGGCCACTTAATAGGGGGGTTTGGGGTTTCTCGTTGACACTACTACCACCAGATCGTTTAATCGAATGTGCCCTAGAGTTTGTGCTACTGCTGCCTGGCGATGCTCGGGTATCGTTGTTATTGTTATTGCCCAACAAAGACGGTGGCTTGGTACCACCGCCACCACCTCCATTACTATTGTACCCACCCGTGTTTGTTGAATTTTGACGACTTAAACTTGCGCTTTGGTAGGCAATTGTTTTCTTTCCACCTCCGCTACCATTGCCATTGTTTCTCTTCTCGTACGTATTTGAAGGATACGAGGTATGGGGACTATTGCTATTTCCACTACCGGATTGTTGATTCTGATCCACATAGAAATGTGGAGTCGAACTGGCGCTGCTGTAGTGTGCCGCATTGTTATTCATTATGGGAGGTGTTGAAAATACAGGAGGGTTACGCTGAGAGTGAAGCTGCACCGAGGGTATTGAGTGTGGTGTGCTGGGTGCCGATTGCGAGGTACTATTATTACTCGTGCCTACGGCGATTCCTGCGCTCCCGCCCCTTGTCATATAGGTGGGATTTCCACTTCCATTTTGTGCTGCATTTATAAGCGATGCCGGATCCACTATTGGTATTGCAGCCGGACCTGGACCGTGTATTGCATGAGTTCCCGTCGGTATGGCCGCATGTGGGTTCGAATGGTGAGTTGTGGCATAAAACGGCGTAATCACAGTATTAGAATGATGAGTAGTGTGTATGGCTCCTGCTGAAGTGCCAGTAGCATGAGCTTGTATTTGTGGGTTGCTGTGCTGAGAAAGAATCGCAGCTTGCTGTGCCATTCCCGCCGCAGACTGCGGACCTAGTGCTGGCGTCGCGTTAGCAGCATATGGGAACATGTTAGCCGGAAAAATTGTCGCATGTTGTGGTAAAGCATACATTGTTGCTGTTGCCGAAGTCGCACCGCCAGTGCTTAAATCTGAAGTAGTTGGTGTTCCGGTAGCTGCTGCCGGTGGTGCTGTCGCTGCTAATGTCAGTGTGGGTACTGGGCCCAATTGATATGTCGTTGCACTGACCCCATTCGGCAATGCGGTAGCTGTCAACACCTGTGGACCACCGCTTACTCCACTGCTGGAGAAGTGTGAGGGATTGGGTCGTTTTATACGGCCTGTGCCGTAGTATGTAGTACCGCTGTTGTGATTGTTTCCACCACTAGTCATAGCGGAGCCGGTGTTGACGTGCTGTTGATAGCAATTCGGCGCTGGTCCATTTTGAAGATTAGCATTCTGAGGGCATCCACCACTACTTCCTTGTGTACTACTAACATTTGAAGAACTGATTGACGGTCCAGCCGTCGAATTGAGTCCACTAGGTCCTGATACATTCACGCCGCCTGCGACGTGAGCACCATTAGCAGGCGCAGCTTGTGGTGGAGCCTGTGAAGTTAACAGTGATGTGGCGGGTACTGCTTGTTGAGGTACATAGTATGTCATGGTTTGGCCCCAGTATCCTAGAATTTATATGTTAATCCACTTCAGTTTAGAATATTAAAATTTTAAATTTTGTACTTACCGTTATATGGGTAAGGATATCCAATTGGATATGTTGTCATTGGTATTTGCTGCAGTTGACCTGTTGTTGAAGCTGGCGCCGCAGCGGGAAGTGGTGCCGCTGCCGCCTGAAACTGTTCTCCGGAGTATATCACTTGGCCAGGATAAATAGGAGTGCCATTTGTTGTTGTAAACTGGGCAGTTGGATAAGCGGCTACTGGTACCATCGTCGTGGTACCACCAGTCGGATATATTGTCTGCGTTCCGGGTGGTAAAATACCTGCAGATTCTCCCCGCTGCTGTGTAGGATCGAATACAGGCATTAAATATCCTTGAAACTCTCCTTCCTAAAAATATCAACGTTAAACACATGCTATCTGCGCACAATTCACACAGACTTACCACAGGCGGTGGATAAGCGTAGATCATTCCCTGTGGTACAGCATAAATGCTTCCATCGGGCTAAAAGAGAAATCAAATTATGGTTTACTTTTTACAATACGGAATGCGACTTTAGTGTGTCCATACCCCTTGCTGATATGTGGTAGTACAATATGGATTACTTCCACTCGGAGTATTTGTGTGAAATACTGTAGAACCATCAGGAGCCTGGTAGCTTTGGGTCCAACTAGTTCTAGGTTCCTCGGAAGACCGTTTGGTCAATGTGTCGTTATTGCTAAACGGAGTAGAGCGTGCCGAAACGGGTGTTTCACGGTTCTGAGTTTGCTGTTGTTGGTGGTGTGGATGCGTTTGTTGTTGGGTTGGAGTCACAACATTTCTGGGCGTTTGGCTTGAATTCTAAAAAAACAGTAGGATGTATTTACACAGTGAGAAGATTCATACAAGTTATTATTGCAAATACCTCAAACTTGGAAAGATCTTCCTGCTCACTTATGGGAATATTAGGACTTGTAGCTTGGTTCTTGAACTTCTGGACTTCAATACGGTCGTAGTTCTTCGTTGATGTTGTGGTAGTTATACTGAGACAGCCATTAGCCGAATTATCACATTCATCGTTATCATCTTTATTGGATGCATCTGCAATATAAGAGCAACATGCTATAAACAATATTGTAATGTCGTGTGCTTGATTTTGTCTATTTACCACCACCGTCATTGTAATTGATAGCGTCCAAATTCTTGCCAATCGCATCATCGCCTTCATTTACCGTTTGTGTTGACGACTCGGATACAGCCTCCACAGCAACAGGAGGCGGTGTTGCATCCATAGGACTGAATTGCTGTTGACATTGTTGGTGCTGCTGTTGCGACGCCATCTGGTAACCCTTGTTTGGCTTCTTTACAGTACTTTGCATAGCATGCTGTTGTGGAGAAGAGATACTCTGCGTCGAATGGTATATGGTGGAATTGGAACTGCCGCTACCATTGTTACCACCAACAGGCATGGCTTGATTTGGTGGTGGATTGGACGGGTCAAAATGATAGACAGTACTGTAACCAAATAAGAAAACGTGGAAGGAAAAAATAAATTATTTTTATCATTGTCATTCGATGAAAAACAAATATTAGCCAACAGATGATAGTCCTTATGATGTTTCAGAAAAAAATATTTTACCCATGTTCAGAAATTGCAAAAAGTGATAATACCGCTAGAAAATTTTAAGATCTTAGGGACAATATTAATTTAAGTATTGTATTGAAATAGTACAGATCTACAAATGAATGAATTTGTATTTTTCGAATGCCAGTAAATATTACGATTAGAATACTGTTAACCAATGGAGAATACAAAAAATTCCAGGTCTAGAACGAATGTTGAACTGTAGTGCTTATCGATAGCAGTAAATATTGTATGAATATATGTGTTTTCAAAAAAAGACACTGTTCGACCAACTGAATAATAGAGAAAAAGAAATGTTCTGTTCTGATTTCCAAAAATTAAAATTGTTACACTCATATCGTTCAGTATCGGAACATTTGTTTTTCACTATATTTAGTGTGTAGGGCGGTGTCATTCTATTGAACACATTTTTAAAACCAAACGTAATTCTGTTCTTAAAAAATGTAACGTCGGAGAAAGTAGTAATGTATTAGTAATTGTAACGCCATTGTCCTTAACTTTCTCAATAAACAGAAGTGGAATAACTATGTATTGGTTTATATATACAAACAATGGTGTTTAATTGCAACATTTGGGAATTTAATTTAAAATCAATATTGTTTGTAATTTGAATTAAGGGGACCCCCCCCCTTAAATTAACTTCATACCATGGCATGTGTGAACCAGGCGGGTACGCTAAACTTACGCATAGTATTACATAGGTAGGTGGCTCGAAACGGAACATTTCTTCTACAAACCAAACTTAAATTTTGCGTTGGTTCGCCTGTATGAAATGCGCTTGGAATTCTCAGATTACATGTGATATAATTCAAATTGTTTTAGAAATTTTTTCATACGAAAAGTTTGTAATCTATCTCCTAATACATTGGCCGAAGATTTACCATGTCCTAGAGATGTGTTGAGATAAATGTATATTAGGGTTATGACTTTTTTGCAACCTCGTATCCCAGTATCATATTTTGATGTGTTTTTACATAAGATAAGATAAATCTTAATTCTATGAAACAACTTCACACACAAAATCATTTGAAATTATTTTATTAACGAGAATTTATGAACAATTTTCTGAGCCATTGTAAGCACGTATGTAATTATCCACAAGATTTAGAGCACCACAAAATGACATAACGAAATGCATTTAATTGCGAAACTCTTTTGTCCCATAAAATGCGACTTTTCGTGCAAATAATAAAAATTCTACTTTTTTCGGTTTAGATACACACTGGTGGCCAAAACTATAAAAATTTTAGATTATGTATGTTCTATGTATGTTCTGAATTTACCCATTGTCAAATGTTTTATCACTGATAGATACCTTAACTGTATCTTCATGTACAGTTGGTTTTCTAATGGCATACAACATTCTTAGATGTGCTATTTCTAAGAATGTTGTATGCCATTAGAAAACCAACTGTACTTGAAGATACAGTTAACAAACATCACATGGTGGCCAAAACTAAAGCAACTGAAATTGTAAACAGAATAAATGACCTGTCACTTTTTTAAAAAAATAAACAAATAATTAGGTAATTTATTCACTTTTAAAAAACAACAAATATAAACGCAAAAATAAAAAATTTCTCTGTTGTTGATCAGTACGAACTGATGTTATTTTGTTAAAGTTATTTTTATTTTTGAAAAAGTTATACGGCATTTATTAACCTTGCAATTTTAGTTCATTTTGTCTTGGCCACCAGTGTATATGATGAAAAATAAAAAATTAATTTTCTTTCGAAAACAATATGAATTTCACGTGACTTTTAAATAATTAAAATATTGCTTAGTTTAGTCATTTATAACAAAAGCTCATCAGTTCCTACCACAACCCTAATGTATATGTTTGGTAATGTTAAAGTAAAAGTGTTATGCAGAAAAAACATTTATGGAACGTCGGATTACACAGAAAAGCATTTGCATATAAAAAGCAGAAAGTGATGTGCAAACAGATAACTTACAAAATCTTGTATTTTGTGTATTGTAGTCAAACAAGCTGCCGAATTTAAGGACTCCTTGTTTTGTGTTATGAATAGTATGTGCAGAGCGTACATGCGTAAATTTATATACATTATATACCGATAATTATTGATAATTCAATCTTGGATATCACAGCAAATCGAAGCTACAGAGATTTTAGGGATTATCTTTCAAATAATAACAACAGTCCACATTTTCTCGGGCATTATAAATATGTAATTCTTGTCAGTTCTTGCAAAACTAATTAAAATTTTAAAATATAGAGTAAATTGGGTACTTTATGCTTTGTTGGCAAGTATCAGGGTAAGGTGGTCTTATCGATATCAGTTCATTCACATACATCGATGAAGTATGGATACTACAAATTTAAAATAGCCCCAAATAAAAAATGTTGATAGAGATTGGCCCAACGATTCTAACACTGGTGGGAACAATTTGTCAGTAAAATTTACTCAGTAACGCCTTTTGAGAGAATATCTACTAGAATATCTCAAAAAATTTAAAAATTTAAATTAATTACAAATTGATATCTGTCGGTAGGCTTTACCGACTACTTTATTTTGTTGATCGAATTGCCGAAAATGTTCGTTATCAATAGTTCAGTTATTCATATTTTTCAGCTTTACTTATAATCGACGTGGCGCCTAAAAATATTCAACTACCAATCTAAACTAACTTGAAAATTATTAATTGTAAAATAACATTTGTAAACTTACAATATTTTCTCTTCCGAAGCCTACATGAAGACTCGATGAAAGGCATGCTTGATAGCCCAATAATGTGTAACAATCTGTACAAATTGTTCCTGAATGTTGTTCAATAACTAAAAGTTCGATAAATTCAGACTGATAAAATTTATTCTGCTCGTATCGTTGTCAGTAAAATGAAGAAAGTAAACAATTCAAGTTTCGAGCAATAATTGAAATATTTACATTATTTTGAAGATATTTAGCCATATGCATTGTATAGATAAACATGAATCTAAAATCCAATTATTAAAAATTGATATTTTGTATCGTGTTACGTAACAACTTCAAATTACGACCTTTGTGGAATATATCACTCATTTACTGTTATATCAGACTTCATGTTGTGTAACAATTTCATATGAATATCACTTATACAGGCTAATTGAGGAACTGTAGAAGTTTATCTGTTCTATATAAGATGTGAGTCAATTAAGTATTTGCCTTTTTTATTCATGCCGGCCTTGCAGCAAATGAGCGATATAGGGTTTATTGTGAATACAAATTTTAGATTATGATCCTATTACTCATCGTCAAACGTTTTTGATCACTGCAGTTAAGGTATCTTCATGTACAGTGGTGTTTATAATGGCATACAACATTTTTAGAAACAAATACAGCAAATTCATGTGAACAAATATTGAACAACATAGCACTATGTTTTCAAGAATTTTTATTTAAAATTGTCATAATTACTCACTTAATCCTTATCCACATTTTAAATAATAGGGAAATCATTGTTTTGCTTTTCAGAAGCCCCACAAGTGTTATGATATATTTAAAAAGGCTTATAAATAAATACCTTATTTGATTTGAATTTGCAAGTGCCTGAGCATTTGAATTTTCCAAAGCATTCTGGCCAAATTGTGCTAATTATTTCTAAATATTATTGTGAATGAATGTTGTATGCCTTTATAAACATTAATAGTTAAAATATTGAATATTGCACATGCTTCAATTAGTGGCGCGACTTTATATCCATTTGTTATTGTTAAGTGCTTGCTATGGAATATTAAATCGAATATAGACGCACACATATTCGTTCTGAGGCTATGCTAGGTATTAGTGGTAAAATTAAAAAATGTATTTTTTTGTTTGGATTAAAGTTTTGTAAATTACCCGTCTGCATTTAAGATTGGTTGTAGGGTTTGTGGATTGATCAAAACACTGCCTTTCGGCACATTTGAAATATCTGTAACAGCCCAAACAAGTCCACAAGAGGGCAGGGATTTTGTAGCATCAATGTTCTCCCTATTCGTGATGACTGAAGAATGTTGTGGCATATGCTGTTCATCATTGCCGCCATAAACATCGGTGGGCGATGGTATGACCGAATCGGACTGAACCGATTGTGTTCGTGTTTTATAGCTAAACAACGGAGTGGCAAAATTAGTTTTTATCCATGGATTGGTTTTCTGTTTTATGCTTCATCGCGAAATGTTTATGTCCAACATGGTTTAACTTAAAGATTATACAAGTCAACATTTTAACTTACCCACTACTCGAGGGCGACAGTCTCCATGATGTACTTGCACTTCCTATTGATTCTTGCTTGGAGAAGATTCGATTGTTACCTCCACTGTTTCCTTTATTAGAGTTAGCAGAATCGCCTCGCATCAACGGAGGAGCACCGCTCTGAGAAGGTCCATAATTATTATAATTATTTCCCTTTGTCGCCACACTCCCAGAACGACCATCGGGAGACTGTAATTGAAAACGTCCATATTGGTTACAAATCTCGAATATTGTCTAGCAATCAAACATACGTTTTGTATCTTGAGTACTTTTCCACTCGAACGGCCACGAGAAAATTGCTGCTGTTCGACTGAACTTGTCCAGCTGATATAATTGTTATCCTCATCCGTGCTGCCACCACAAGCCTCATTCTGACTTCGATTAAAAATACGAGAACGAGCACGGTCATAGTCTTCCTCACGTTCCTCAAAACTCTTTGCCTTGCGGTCCAACATACCACGATCTGGACATAAGTAGCTACTTTGTCGTGCCTCATCGAAACTGTGCGTGTCCCGCTTTAATATAGACTTCCGTGAATCGTCACGATTGTGTATGACCAGCGTTTTAAATCGTATCTACGAGAAGTTACAAATAAAAAATAAATACTTAAGACCTCATTTTTGATCAAATATGTATGCCAACTTACATCCGGTATGCGAGTGTTTTTAGTCGGTGCCACAATGACGCACTGTTGCGTTTCGGTGTCGACATTATGTTCCATGCCAAAAAAGGCTGCAGTTCGATGTATCAACATACGATTGTACGACGATGCTTGAGGAAATCGTATTTCGCCCCGTCTACGCGAAACAAAGACAAAAATGTTGAATGTGCACACAGAAAGTCTGACAATATTACTCACCCTCCTTCCTGCACAAATTCAATAAGGTCCTTCTCGACCTTCAGCAGAAACTGACGATCTTTAACATTTTTGTTCAACGTCTCTTTAAAGAAACTGAGCAGATCGGTGCCGCCGTGATCTGTGTACTGTTCGTTGGAATTTTCTGAATTTGTGAAGACTAAAGAAATAAAAATTGATACAAATTATCGAAAGTGCAGTGGATACGCACCTCTTGAAATAAATCCGGATGTGTTGTTGCTACTGTTCAAGCTGCCATCCATGCTGCCCCCTCCACTTGGACCACCGCCACCAGCACCACAACTACCACTGGTGTTTGAGTTATTACCTCCACTGGATCCACCACCGCTAATATTTTTCAAACGCGGCTTTGATCCTTTCGAATTAGAATTGGTGCGATGCTTTTTATTTCCACCGGTACGTTGTTGATGATGTTGGGATTGTTGCTGCTGTTGATGTTGCTGGCTGTGATGTTGCTGTGAGTGCGGTTGCTGCGAGTCCATGTAATGCATATCTTCGCTAGAATTCACACTATTTTGACTATCGTTGCGCGGACAGCGATTCTCCTTATCGTAGACAATGTACGACGTCGCCTGCTGTTGCTGCTGGTTGTGACCTCCATCGTTGGGGTGCATTTGATAATTCATTGGTGAATTATAGACGCTATTGGTTTGTGAGGATGAGCCATGCTGTTGCTGCGACGGCTGGGAGCTGTCCGTTATCTTTAAAGCTTTTTGTAAAGCACTACCTGCGTTATATGACTGTTGCTGGGGTTGACTGTAACTCTTATTGGACACAGAGGCAGAATTTGAATTGCTCGTGGCCTTATTGTGCGTATCGTTAAGTCCCGATACTTCGCCATTAGACTTTTTGTTGTTGCCCGCATTTCCTTCACTATTGTTGTTGTTGTTATTATTATTAGTTAGACTATTAGAACGTTGGTTTGGTGGCAGTTGTTGTTGCCCGTTGTTGCTGTTGTGACCACAATTGGATGCTGCTCCTCCAGAAGTGCCAGCGCCTCCACCGCCTTTGGATTTAGGAGGAGTTAATTTTGGAAACTCTGTTTCATTGCAGAGGGCAACATTGGTATGTTGTTGCTGCTGCTGCGTTTGTTGGGATAACTGTTGCTGTTTGTGTTGACTAGTTACAATCACAGATGGTGTATCTACTATTGGGGAATTGCCTCTTGTTGATGATTGTGTATGCAATTTATTGTTGTTATTGCTATTCGGTTCACCAACATCTATGTGGTGATGCTGTTGCTGGTATCCATTCGGTGACAATTGCGGCTGCGAAGAAGACTCAGATGTTCTGGGTGTGGGAGTTCGCGGTGGTGATGTAGCCTCTCGCATGGCATGACTCCGTGTCAAATGTTTTCCCTTCATGGTACCCTTAAATTAAAAAAAAAAAAAAACAAAAAAATTAATTAATTTCGATCTAATCTGGAACAACTTTTACTTTTATGAGTTTTGCCTGTAAGGGAGATGATCATTTCAATGATTTTTAAGTCAGGTTTTCCCTTTCGAGTTGAGCTTAATCATCGAAGTTTTTACAACGAAAACGAAACCTAGTGGAAGAACTTACGCACCCACTATTATGGGACGCATTTCACCGTTGGTTAAGCCACTTTGTGGCTTTACAAAGATCGTAAGTTGATAAACTGTATTCATATAGCAGTAAATACGAAGTTGCATCTGCGAATTTGTCTATGTCCGACATTTGTCTTCACTCTAGAAAACGTCATTTTCAAAACAGATTTTTGTTGTAGCGATGGAAAAACTTTTGATTTTTGTACCCAATACGGAATTTAAGACCTTCAAATCAAAGATTAAAATATGTGTGTGTGCTATGTCTAAATCTGAACCGATTTTCACGAAACTCTATGCTATGCAAAATTTCGTGCAAATCGAAAGAAAACACGTCACTCTAGACTCAATTTGGTACGCTGTTCAAATTTTAGTCTCAATCGGATAATTATTTGTCACTTTGTTGTACTATAATTTTGTTGTAGTTACGTTTTTTTTTTCAGAAAATATCATGTCAAAAGGACGTAACTGACATAAAACCTTTAAGAACGCAAAAAATAATATTTTATTCAAAAAATAAATACGACTCTGTAGTGCATTTAAACTTTGAAAAAAATTCCAGCCATACTCCATTTTTATAGATTTTATAACGTTTTTTGCTTCTCCTGTAAAATTAGTAAAAGTTTAGTTACGTTCGTTTGCATTTATGATGACGATTCGTATGTTGTTAGTTATTTGTGTGCATAATCACTACAAGAAACAATACCGTCCAAAGGGGGCACATTTTAACATTATGACTTCTACCATTAAAATAGTATAAAAATATTGAAATCGAACTTAAAAACCCGTTTTTCTATTCAAAGTAATTGTTACAATATTTCCTAATAATTACAATTTATAAAAGTCCAATAGCTATGAAATACTTGTATGGGGAAAACTGTATATAACAACAATGAAAACGATAAAATTCTATCTTCATACCTAAACCAAAAAGTGTCTGACTGAAAGGTAAGGCACAGAACAGCCTTGAACTCTGCATACAAAATTGCGTAATTGTTTGTATATAAACATTACAAATTTTCTAGGAAACTCGTGGTGATTGACACACAAACTCCTAGAAAACTCACGCTTAATATGAACTTTCAACGATGCATGTCTGGATTTTTTGTTTTTCCACCATTCGTTCGTCTTCGTTATCGACTAACCACACAATAACCCAATTTGTGGACACAACTGCCGTAGGGAAGTGTGGATACACACACTCTACCTTCTATAGTCATTCTCAACAATTTTGTCGAATACTCCCCCCATCCCCCAAGTTCTAACCTTGGCACATCGAACGAATTAATGACAGCAGCACGAGCGGGCTAACGTGCATGTGTGCGTCTTTCCATAGCTCTGTGCGAAGTCCTTTGAACACAATGGAAATGAAACATGCGCACAGACACATTAGTTTGTTGGGAAAATTATCGAGTGACTCAGAATTTGGCGACTACACAACGGATCGGGAAATGTGCAGTAGAAGGATCCCACATATGCTTGGAATATATGTCTCTCAGATACTTACCCTTCGATTCATTCCAAAACTGTTTTGCCTGCCCAATGACTCTTCGCTATTGTATTCCTTTTGTTGTTGGGCCTGATTGGATGAGGACATGTTTGGAATATTTGTAGCCACGGCTACTTGAGACTTTGTGGAACTCATAATCACAGTTAATGTATTTTATTTTATCTGAAAAAAAAAAAGAAAGAACCCGTAATTACATTTTAATAAACAATATTCACGAACAACAACAAACTAAATTATACAATTATAAATGTATGTACTAGTGCGTGTGTGTTTTGAAGTTTTTAGCTTGTAATTAAATGTTAGATTAGTAGAAACGTAAATATAGTGTCAATGTATTATACATATAATAGAACATCTCCACAATAAAAATGCAATATTTCTTTAACGTAAAGCATTCACAAACAAAATGTTGTAGACTGAAAATGCGAATTTGTTAGCGTTTGTGTAAGTTGTGCACCTCAAACCACCATGGCATTGAGAAATTGAGAAAATATGTATGTATATATGACGGGTTGTTTAACCGCTATTTATAGCTTATTGCGTGACTATTATTTCTTCCTGGTGCGAGAGAAACAGGATATTGTCTTTAAAATGAACAAATCGCACAGTGAGTTAAAACGTTTCTCATGTTGTCAAACGACTTTAACTACTAATCGATATTTCCAACATTTTCATTCATTCCATTTATTATACTTTTGCATGTATGTGTATGTCGACGAAGCCGAGTGATATTTTGAAAGCCTAAACTCGAGGTTTATTAATAAGATTAAGTTTTTTTTTTGAATGTAAGGTCGCCAACTTAAAAATAATATTGCAATCCTCACCCATTTCCGGCCCTGACGATCGAGAGGCCCTCACCATGAAGGGATGTGAAACTAGAAAACTACCGGCTACACTTTTCAATTTTAACAATTTTTAGCCGGTCGTACCTGAATATACTATAAAGTTCAATTAAATGTGAAACATTTATTTAAACACGTGTATACAAACATACTGTCTTTTATAGACCTCAGATTTTGCTAAAATAAAGTGAAGGAACATTCAGTTCAATTTCACCTACCGAAAACTCGACCCGATATTGTAAGGATAATTATAAACATGCCAATTAATTGGCTGATTTTTTAAAATTTTAGACTCTTTAAGGCAAAACATATTTCTTTTTGGACCAAAAATTGCATTAAAACGAACTGAAAAGTTTTAATGACAATGACACTCCGTATTGTGTGTTTAGATGTTGTAAAGGGTGACATATTAAGAGTTATAGAAAACTTGAACAATCGCATGTAATTCAGAAAAATTCACAAAATCTTTATTGATAGTACCAAAGATCTTTATCGATATTGCCAAAAAGATAATAGCTCACAAATCACGATTTAAAAAATGTAATAAATCTGTGATGATCTATGGTTGAGTTATTTTTTATTTAACAATGTTTTACGCTACGATTTGCAAGAGGATTCAATAAAAAATGATAAAAGTTTACCTTATTAACAGATTTCACTGCATAGTGCTTTAAGTCGAAGAATAAACGTTGCAATTATTGTTGTTGTTAAATTTCACATCAGATGATTATGCATTTAAAAACACATATAAAAATAATTTGTAGTAATAGTTTTTAATTTAAACAAACTAAATTTAAGTATAGTTTTTTTATTTTATTGTAATTTATATTGCACTAAACACGTCGAAATCATCTTTGACGTCATCAAAGTTTTCCTAGTTTTGCAATACAAAATTCCAGTTATTTACGTCGGCAGTGAAATTGGCCAAAGTGAAGTCATTGTCATTTCTTTGAGTATTTTCATATTTTATATCAAATTTATTTTTGTTGCGTTTTTTATTTTGTTTTGTGTTTATTGTTATGTTGTTTATTAAATATCACATTTTAAATAACTAAAGTTGTATAAAAAAAGAAACAAAAAACTGTTAAAATATTACAAAACACTACCGTTGTCTACATCGTATCCAAACGCTTGTTAACAACAAGGCTTAAAAGGTAAGTAAATAACACATCGAAGTTTGCAGTATTAAAAAAGGAAAATTTAAATGAGACAGTCACACCATTACAACATCGTATGGAGGTCAGGGAAATGCTATCCTACATCAATACCAGACACATATAAACTAATTTAAAACAAACCAGTGAGCGAAGCAGTATAGTCGGACGGGCCGACCATATGATACCCTACACAACTACCACGAAAAACACACTTTCAGCGGTTCTATATTCTGAGCCTGGGCAATATTTCGTGATATTTGCACCCTTTTTACAGATCATAGATAAACAACTCCTATTTCTAAGTCTTGAATATTTTCCAAAATGTTTTTTTCTTGAAGAGAATTTTTACGCCATACAATAAAAAATTGGTCACTATAGGTTTTGGTTGATTTGACCCTCGGAAAATTGACCGATCATCATCTAAACAGCCGCTCTAAGTATTTGCCGCTCTATGTATTTGTATATAATAATTGCCTCTAAAGCGACTAGAAAATCTGACAAAATTAAAGTTTTCGGTTCATTGCACCCCCTGAATGAAATCTCAACTTCACCGAAAACTATAAGCGTCGTCCTTGACCATAATCGGAACTTCAGCGCGACATTTCCGTCCTCTAATGGAGTAATAGTAATAATATGCACATAGTCTCCTTGACCTTATTACGTATAACTCCCGCATCGGAGTACATACGGCCATACAATTGGTATCAATTTGAAGGTCAACAACTCATCTTGGACATACTATCAACATCTAGAGTATATGTCCTTCAGGAGCAAGTAATTGTAATTTTTCACACAAAAGTCAGGGTCCACTTGACCCACTAAATATTGACCGATCTTTATCAAACCAGGCATGCTCATTCTTTGGCCCGATCCCCGTCTCCATGTAAAATTTCACGATGTTCGAACCATAACTGCGGCCTCTGGAGAGACCAGAAAAACCGACAAAAATTTAGTATTTGGTCCATTTCATCCCCTAAATATTAACCGATCTTTATCAAAAACAATAGGGGTCTTCATTGGCCAGAACCCATCATACATGCAAAATTTCGTGAAGATTGGTCCATAACTGTGGCCTGTATCGTGTTTACAAATTATAATGGACAGACGGACGGACGGACGGACGGGCACACATGTCTAGATCGACTCAGCTAGTCGAGATATGACGATCGGTATACTTAAAGGTGGCTCTAGGACCAATATTTCGCGGCGTTACAAATTTTGGGGCTGCACAAAGCTATAATACCCTGACAACATAGTTGTGTAGGATATAAAAACCATCATAGTCCCATTATTAAATGAATTACAGCGCCATATTTGAATGGGTACAAATGTACCACGTTTATTGATCTACGTAAGCAATAAAATTTAAAATTTTATATAAATTATATATATTTACATTATTGAATTCCTTAAAAAAAAAGTTCCAAGTCTTGTTGGAATAGAAAATTATTTCATTCATTATTATTATTGAAACATATTATAAAAACGGCAAACTGGAATTACGTCTGACTATGTTGCAATCACAACATTATTGAAAATGTTATAAGCGTTGCAGTTTAAGATCCGTCAAAAGTTCGTTTGGCTTCTCAAATTTCCGTGGATATAACTTTTGTAATAGAATAGATAATAATCGAATTCATGGAAAATTAATTTAAATAAATACAAGAGCCCGAGTTGTCGTCATGTACGATTCGGATTTAATTCAATTATTAAGCTTTTTTTATATTAAATAAGCTTTATAAGCCTCCCGCGATAAAGTTCGCAATATTTAAGATATAGTTTCGAAATTTTGCACATACATTGCTACTACTCCTACAATGTTTGGTATTGAAAATGGGACCGATATATAATTTTGGGGAAGCCCCCATATAACGGTACCCCCAATATTCGATGTTTTAAGTTTTTTTCATGGGTTTCATTCTTATAATTGGTTGAAATTTGGTATTTTGGGTTCACATTAGGTAGTACAACTGCGGTCAAAATAATAGCAGCGTAATGCATTTAAATATTCCTACTGTTTTCTGTTCAATTTATAGTTAAAACGTTACCAATTGCTATATCGACGCCTCCGAACCATAGTATGCTAAGTCGACTTATCATGTTTTAAAGTTCATTTCGTTTTTAGATACTACGGTCCTTAATTTAAACCAATCCAATCCAAAGTTATAAGCAAAAATGTACTTAGCAGGGCACGTAAGATTTAAGAAACTTCCACACCATAATGTGGTAAGTACACTTAGCATATTTCGGCTTGGAATTTTTTGAATTATTTCGAATGCTAAGTAAACTTAGCATATTACAGCACGGTCTTTTCTTTGTGCCGAGTTCGCTATGTATACTTGGCATTGCCTATATTTTGTTTTTAGTGTTTCTAAGTTCACTTAGTTTGTGTGTGTAGTTTGTGTGTGTAAGTATACATAGCATACCTTAGTTTGGAAAAAATAGTCGACTGATAAATAGTGATAATAGTTATTTATATTTAGTTTTATATTATGTTATAAATCTGATTTCGCTTCTAAAAATGAGAAGTAATAACTACAGAGACCATGCTAAGTAACAAAGAGGAAAATAAAGGTAAGCAATTTAAGAAGAGATTAGTTTATAAAATATTATATCTTTGTGCATATATTTGTAACAGGCAAAAGAAGACGAGATAGACCCATAGTTCCTTTTGAGAATATGCATAGAATTACTTTCTGAGTCGATTTATGCATGTCCGTCCGTCCATCAAAATGAAATTTCGGTGCCGGCTCCTTAATGATCTTGGGAGAATTTTATAGCGACGGAATGCTTGATTTGACATTTCCTAGTTGCCGGATATATTCAATGGAGTACGTTCAAGTCTTTGAAGACAAATTATTGCCATTTTGGGAAAGCAGCAACGATGAATGAATGAATATTTAAAGTATGAACTGGTCCGCATGTTCCTACGACCAGAATGTGACCGAGAACATAGGGGGAATCTTAACTCGTCGTATCTATGCGGAAAACCGCCAATACCAGACTGTTTTTAACCTCAAAGAAGTAATAATCGATAAATGGCGGTCAATCGACGATGATTTGAAAAAAAATTGATAGAGAGTATGATGGATAGCATTTTTGATCTTATTCAAAATAAGAGAGGCCCTACCCATTATTGATTAATATTATGTGATTTTATTTAAGGTTTTA